AATATATGGATGTTTTACACAAGACTCAAATAAGGAATCAGTCATTCTGAGACTGATTAGCATCCATTTTCCTCTCTGTTTCTCCTTACCAGAAAAAAAAAAATTGGTATTGGTGTAGAAGCTTAGTCAGAGAAAGATGACCAGACCTTGGAAATAAGAGGGGTTGGTTGAGGATGTAATGGAAAAAGCCAATTTTATGAGCATTTATTAAGTGCCTCCTCTGTGTAGGCATCATGTTGTGTTTAGATTGTAAGCTCCTTGAGGGCATAGACTATCTTTTGCCTCTTTTTATATCCCTAGTGTTTAGCATAGTGACTGGCACAGAATAGGCACTTATAAATATTTATTGATTCGTTTATTGTTTGGTTGGTCGCTGGGTGCTAGGGATATACAAAGACAAAAATAAAATTGTTCTTGCCCTCGATGAGTTTACATTTTGCTAGGAAAAAACAAGATAATAGCTAGCTCTATTTATGCAGTGTTTAAGGTTTGCAAAGAGCCTTACAAATATCTCATTTCATCCTCTCAACAGCCCTGTGAGGTAGGTGCTATTATTATCCTCATTTTGTAGATGAGAAGATTGAAACAGAAAGAATGAAATAACTTGCCCAAGGCGACAAAGATAATAAATGTCGAAAAGGATTTGAACTCAGGTATTTCTGACTCCAGGTTGGCCCTATTCATTGTACCATCTAACAGTGTCCAGATAAGTCTAGTTAAGTTGCTGAGGGTATACAAAGTGATTTCCTGGAGGGGAGGTGGAGAGCACTGTAGGTGACTCATGAACTAAGTCTTGAATAGAGATAGAGATTCAGCAAAATTGAGGTGGAGGGAGAGAAATCCTGTGTAGAGAGACAGAGGTCATTTTTCTAGTCATGTCTGACTCTTCATGACCCCATTTGGGGTTTTCTTGGTAAAGATATGAGAGTGGTTTACCATTTCTTTCTCCAGCTCATTTTACAGATGAAGGAAATTGAGGCAAACAGGGTCAAGTGACTTGCCTGGGGTCACACAGATAGTAAGTGTCCAAGGCCAGATTTGAACTCAGGAAGAGGAGTCTTCTTGACTGGAGGTCTGTCTCTCTATCCACTGAACCACCTAGCAGGTAGGAGAGAGGTGGAGGAGTTAGAAAATGAAATAGAGTGAGTGTGTGGAACAACAAAACCAAAACAATTTGACTGGAATGTAAAGTACATGAAAGGAGAGAATGTGAAATCAGTCTGGAAAGATAGATTGAAGTCAAATTGTGAAGGGCTTCAGAGGTCCAGCAGAGGAGTTTGTCTCTGATTGATAGTCAGGCAATAAGTCAGCCACTGAATCTTCTTGAATGGTGGAGTTAGGTCTATGCTTGAAGAATGCCAAATTGGCATTGATGTGGAGAATGTAGACAGGAAAGATTGGACATCAATGCATGGTGATGATGGGACAGTGGAGAGAATGAGGATGGATGAGAGTTATTGTGGAGGTGCAGTTTACAAGAGATCACAATTAATTTGCCATGGAGGGTGAAGAAGGACCTGAAGTGGGGAGCCTGGTTTATTAGAAGGATAATGGTACCATTGATAGAAAAAGGGGGAAGGTTGGGGAAATGTAATAAGTTTTGCTTTGAATGTGTTGAGTTTGAGATGCCTATGTGATCTATCTACATAGAGATGTCCCACAGGTGATGTGGAACTAAAGCCCAGGAGAGAGATGAGGACAGGATACCTAGATCTGGGTGGATCTATATGGAGATGATAATGGAACCTTTGGGAGCTGATGAGATCACCAAGAGGGTATATAGAGAGAAGAGGGCCCAGGACAGAGTCCTGAGGCAGAACCATACAAAACAGTGAGGATTTGGGTGATGGTCCACCTAAGGAGACTGAGAAGGAATGGTCATACTGGTAGGAGACTCACAGGAGAACAGTGTCATGAAAACCCAGGGAGGAGAGAGTATCCAGGAGGAGGGGGTAGCCAACAGTGTCCCGCTTTAGAGGAGTCAATAAGCATGGGGCAGAAGGAAAGACCACTGTACTTAGTGATTAAAAGATCATTGATGACTTTGGAAGCAGCCTGCAGAGGACAGAGAAGTGAGTGGGGTCGAGGAGTTTTCTAGGGAGTCATGTGAAATGGTAGCTTTAACACGGCAGGGGCAGGAGGAAGATGGTAGGGTCATTTGTAGGCAATTTTTTTAATTATAGGGGAAACCTAGGCATAGTCTCAGTTTCTACATCTGTAAAGTGAAGGGGCTGGACTTAATGCCCTCTAAGATCATTTTCATATCTGTGATCACATGACTATGGGCAACAAGTAAGGAGCTAATAGATGAACAGAGATTGAAGATTACGAAGAGAGATGAAATGATTGAAATATGAGCTCCCACAGAAGTCAGGGGTCAGCCAGTTAACTAGTATTTATTAAGTATGTACTACGTGCCAGGTCTTGTGCTAAGCACGGAAGATATAAGGACATGCACTCTTAATTTTCCCCTCCTTTCCCATAAAAAAACTAGTCCCTGCTCGCAAGGAGATCATAGTGTAACCCTGGGCAAGTCACTTAATCCTTTTTGCCTCAGTTTCCTCATCTGTAATAAGGTGGGTCCAAGTTGAAAGGCTGACCTGGCTAAGAGAACTACCTTTTCTTCTAAGACCTGAGCAAAGGAGTAGAGAATGGGGGAAGATGTGGAGGAGAGGGGCAAGTTCATACCTGGTGGTCTTCATTTTTTTGTGTCAAGTATCCATAACCTGGCTTCTTCCTACCTTTCTGGTCTTCTCTCCTTCATTAGACTGTTAGTACCTCACGAGCAGAGACTTTGTAAGGTAAAAACTTCCTTTGTAGGCCGGGTGCTTAAAGCAGTGCCTGACACATAGTAGTGCTTAATAAGTGTTTGTTGACTCAGTGATTGTCAGTCAACCTCTATAATCCAGCTGTTCTAATCTTCTTGTAGTTCCTTGAACACATTCCTTCATTTCCTGTCTTCACATTTTTGTACTGGCTATCACTTATGCTTGGTGGTGTAGTGGATAGAGCGCAAGGCCTCACTCAGATACTTAATAGTTGTATGACCCTGGGCAAGTCACTTAAACCTATTTGCCTCAGTTTCCTCATTTGTAAAATGAGCTGGAGAAGGAAACGTCAAATCACTCTAATATCTTTGCCAACAAAATCCCAAATGGGGTAATGAAGAGTTGGACGTGACTGAAACATGCTTAGAATGCTCTGTCCTCACACCTCCACCTCTTCATTTCCCAGGCTTCCTTCAAGATTTAAATCAGGTGCCACCTTCTGCTAGAAACCTTCCTGGATCCCCTGTCTGCTCTAACTTTCCCCACAAGTTTGCCTGCTATCTGCTCTGTATATACCTTATGTGTACTTGTTCACATAATTTCCATCAGGACCTGGAAGATACACACACACACACACACACACACACACGCGCGTGTGTGTGTGTGTGTGTGTGTGTGTGTGTGTATCATCCATAGATCTGGAAGGACAATATATATAATATTATAATATATATCATTATATGTAGTACATAATCTAATTGAATATCATATATAATTATAATATATATTATATTTATATATAATTATGTAATATAATTATATACACATACAGAGGCCTAGATCTATTTTATTCCAGATAACACCTGGAATAAAAGTCATTGTAAATCTTTTAAAACTTTGTGTAACTTTGTATGGTGTGATGAAAGGAACACCAAATAGCCCAAGAGACCTGAATTTGAATCCTGACTCTGACACTCAGTAGCTGGCCCTGGTAAAGTCAATTCACCTCCTTCAGCATCAGTTTTCTCACCTCTAAAGTGGAAATAATAATGGTTTTACTACCTACCTCACAGGGTATTGTGAGGAAAGCTTTTTATAAACATTAAGTACAAATGTGCTTTATTTGTCATTTTTACTTCTTTTTTTTTACCAGCACACACATATACACACATAAATATGCATAAACATTTCCCCAACTCTCCGTATACATACATGCATACACACACACATACACAGTGGGAGATGTTGCAACCTTAGAAAACTCAAGAAGGGCTGAGTATTGCTTCAGGGTCAGGAGGGTGGGAGAAAGATTGTGAGACATGTCCTAGACCCTCATGGGCCTAGAAAGGGAGAGAACTGCAGGAAAGAACTGGAAGGGAGCAAGCACTTAGTTTTTGTGTGGGACAGAGACCACTTACTCAAAAATAAAAACAAGGACTTAGATACCTTGAAAGTAGAAAGGAGTGTATTGCTTTCTCATGAGAAAGGGTACCCCCTTAGTTGCCATTGTGGGCCAGGAGAGTATGAATTCCTTACAGAAGTAAAGGCTTATTTATGCCCTAACGCGAGCTCCTCCTCCCTAACCCCCTGCCCCTTATCCCATTGGCTGGGCTTTCGGGGACACAATCTTTTCACAGAAATCTAGAAGAAAGGTAGTTACACAAGTTTGCCCAGAGACAAAGAAACGGCGGGAAGTTTTTGCAAGGGAAACCAGTTCAGGTTGGGGGCAGGGCTTATTCTTTCTGCTAAGCATTTACAAAAAAACAGGGTCTGAGTGGGGGAGGCTTTTGAAAGCATCAGGAAATGTTAACAAGAACCACTGATTCCCTGAGGAGGTTTCCGTCTGAGAGATCATCTCTCACATTTTGGAGGCAGCATAATTGCAGTATATTTGTGTATAATTGGAAAAATCATCCAGCCTCTTTAGCCTCAGCTCCCTCTGAGATTTCTTCCAGTTCAGCGTCTGTGATCCATCCAAAGAAAAGCCATGTGGCAGAGGCAGAGGCAGAGCCTGGGATGGAGAAGTATCAATTCAACTTTAGTTTAGCCAACTTTTGACTCTGTGTTAGACCCTGCATCCTGGGAGCTTGCCTTTCAGCACACCCTGTACATGGATGGTCACTCCGTTGTTTTATCTTTAGGTCCCAGTCCCTTGTTTGTGACACTTTGGAAGTCTAGTCCACCCCTTTCCATCTTTGTTCTTACTTCTTTGTTTGCTCTTGATACCCTCAGGTGGGGGACCAGATCCTGGAAGTTAACGGGAAGAGTTTCTTGAACATTCCCCACGATGAAGCTGTTAAGCTGCTGAAGTCATCAAAGCATCTCATCATGACAGTGAAGGATGTGGGGAGGCTGCCCCATGCCCGAACCACCGTGGATGAGACCAAGTGGATTGCCAGCTCCCGCATCGGAGAGACGCTGGTGAACTCAGCCGGGTCTGTTACTGGTGCTCTCTTGCCCACAGAGGCATTTCTGGAAAGTAGTTCAGGTTCTCACAGTTCCTGTACTCTGTGCAATGAGTTATGCTCTCAAGGTACTGTGAGTCTCTGATTGGTCACTGCCTATGACAGGCAATATCTTTAGGAGGGTGGGGCATTGTGCTGTAACCAGGAGCGTACTGATTCTGAAGTTAGAATTCTAAATCTGTCATTTGTTACCTAAGGTAATATGAACACGTCATGTACCTTAATTTTTTTCGTTTGTAAAAAGAGGGTTGGATTAGATACTCATCTTTGGGTCCCTACTCTGAATCTGGTAATGGTAAATGATGATTATCTTCTCCAACTCCCCTGTACTTCTCTTCTGAGCCTCAGTTTCCCCATGTATAACATGAATCTTGCTTTTTTTGTATTCTCAGCATTTAGCACAGTGCCTAGCATACAATAAGTACTTGATAAGTTTATTGATTAATTGATGTCTACCTCAACAGGGCTACTTATAAAGATGAATTGAAACAATGTCTTTAAAAAACTTGGTAAATCTCAAAGTGCTGTATCAATGTCAGCTCTTATTATTATCAATCATCATTCTCTGGCTTGGATTTAACTCATAAGAGCCTTCATTACATATTCTGAAATTTACCAACCTCTATTCCTGGCTGATAGAATGCAGTCTCCTTGAGGACAGGATGGTTTCACGTTTGTCTTTGATTCTCCAATGCTTAGCGTAGTGCCTGGCATATAGCAGACCCTGAATAAATGCTTGCTAAGTCATTAATTGTGTTCCCCGTAGCCTACAATTCAGTAACCCTCAAGACTAAGACCCTAGTTATCTAGGCCCAGAATCTTAAGAGCTTATTTCCTGGAAACCAATGGGAAATTCATCTTCCTTCGAAGTAGAAGTGGCCTTACCAAAGAAAAGCAATTTTCTCTGGCCAGGCCAATTTGAACTGTTTAGAGGATGCTAAGAATTGTTATCTTTGTTTGCAGGATACCTGGGGATCTCACTGGAGAAGGGCCAGCAAAGGTAAGAGGTTCTTAATCTTATGGAGATTTGAACAACAACAATAAAAAAGGTCCTTTCTTTAGCTGGTGTTTAATCCTGACCCAAAGGCATCAGAAGTTGATTTATTCCTATCAGCTCTTAATTGGTTTGATCACTTTCTTTGCCGAGCTTTTTTGGTACACCCTGGGCAACAACAGATAAGAAATCACATCTGGCCAGTTCTCTGACTCTTTCTGTCTTAAGACATTTATTGGATTATCTAGCTACTTTTATCTTCGCCTTCCCATCCCTGAGCTGCCCTTCCTGGGGATTGGTTAATGGGGCTCTTGAAAGTACCCCCTATGAGTCAGGGTCTTTGGGGAAGCTTTGAGTGAGTTTCTCAGGAAGGAATCCATTTCTCACGTTAATCTCTGGGGAAAGCTGTGCTGCCTGAATATTTGGAGGAGGAAGGAGATGAGAATTTTTGAGAGGGGAACGGAAATGAGCTTTAATTTGAGATGCTGGAACAAGAACTTACATGATCCTGCTTCATCTTGTTATGGAGGTTTTTTTCCTCCTTTGAAATCCTGATGCCTTATCCTGGCTTGGAGATGGCCCTAGCTTCTGAGATCCCAAGCCAACGAAGTACAGTTTCTGTTAGATCCTGCCAAATTCTGAAGAGGCTTCAAGTGCAAGGAAACCTCTCTTGTACTTCTCTCTTTTTTTTTTTTCCTGTGGACCTTGCTAATGTGCTTAGCATGCATTGTTTCATGTCTGTGTATGTGCTATATGATGAGGTAGAAAAGAGTGCTTGAGGCAGATGGAGCAAGCAGAACATGAGATAGGAGATAAGATCAGGATGTGACCACACAGAAAAGTGGTTAAAGAAGACTATGCATTGAAGCCCCCACCATGGACTTACCTGTATGCTTTCACAAAGCACCCTCAATTCCAGAGCAACTCTTCCCCTCCCCATTCTTGTTCTCTTTGCTTATCACCTCCGGACTACCTGATATCCCAGGCATTTTGGAGCCATTCTTGCTCTTCCCATTCTTTTATCCCCTTTCCCCTATTCCATAAAATTTTATTTAAACCATGTCTTTGACCTAGCTAACCACCTTTGCCTCCTATGAAAAGCAGGGGATGGCCACTCTGCTCCCTTAGGGAAGCAGTTCTTTAGGGGAGCAGAGCCTGTGGCCTATGCTCTGCCTTACACGTGGAGTAGAGCCCACTGGGGCTCTCTGCCTCACGGGGAACAGGACTGCTTGGGTACATCACCCCAATACATGCCTTTCTTTAGGTTGGAGACTCTCAGTGAATTCTTTTAGGATGCTAGGACTCACTTATTCCTTATCATTTCAGGTAGCACCCCAACATTCTTAGGGTCCACCCTGAACTCATCACTAGTGGCTATAGAGAAGGTCTAAGTGAATTCTTTCACACCTGAATCAGCTCACCCGACTCTAACATCAGCGTTCTATATCCCGCAATGTCAAGCTTCATGAGGGCAGGGACTGGGCCTTATCTAAGCTTTGGATGTCCCACAGTGCACGGCATTCTGCCTACTTTAGAAACTCAGTAAATGCTTATTGTATTGAAACAGGCATACCAATGGCCACTATGTCCAAGAGGGCAGAATTTGGAGCTGTGGGTAGAAATTACAAAGGTAGATTTTGGCTGAATGTGCTGAAAAACTTCCTACCAATTAGAGCTGTCCAGAAGTGGAATGGGCTGACTCAGGAGGTAGCAGACTCTCCTTTGCTGAAGGGTCTTCAAGTACTGGCTGGATGACTGGATGTTCATTGGGCACATGGCAGAAGAGATTTCTGCTCAGTTAAACTGAGGTCTATTCTAAGTGTGAGATACTGTGATTCTGTTACCCCCTAAGTTTTGAGATTCTCATTACTACCAGGTGATGTTTTTTGGGGGCTATAGTTGTTCACAAAGCCCATGCATTGACTCATGGAGGAATTATTGCAGCCCGCCTTGGGGGAGGAAGTGCCCTCACTCAGTGAAATCATCAACCCTTGAAGTGTTGAAGAAAGTAGAAGTTTTAATTTCTTTGTTCACTTTTTGTGATAATAATAACTCACGTTTCCATAGCACCTTCAATTTACAAAGTATTTTCCTCGTCACAACCCTGTAAGATAAGTAGCATCAGTATTATTAGCCCCATTTTAGAGAATAGGAAAGTAGAATCATGGCTAAGACTTAAGTAGTGCTTTATAGTTACAGAGCATTTTACATAAATTGTCTCATTTGATCCTCATGGCAGGCCCCTGAGGTGATCAGGACAGGTGTTATGAAACCAGTTTTAGAGAAAAAGAAGCTGAGGTTCAGAGAAGTAAGGCACGTGTACCATAGGTCAAGGATTCTCCCTTTCTCTTTGGGTTTGGAAGATGCATTTAGCCACTGCTGACATTTGAATTTGCCTTCTAGAAACTTGTAAGAGGAAAAGGACTTATATGTGAGAAAATATTTATAGCAGCTTTTTTTTTTTGTGGTGGCAAGGAATTGGAAACTGAGAGGATGCCCTTCAGTTGGGGAAGGGCTGCACAAGTTGTGGTATCTGGTTGTGATGGAATACTGTTGTGCTATAAGAAATGACAAGGGGGATGGGTTCAGAAAAACCCAGGAAGATATATGAATTGATGCAGAGAGAAGCAAAAATCCCAAATGGGGTCACGAAGAGTCAGACATAACAGAAAAGACTGAAGAATAACAACAAAGTGGGCAGAAATGGGAGAAGGTTTTACAGGGTGACAGGAATATTATAAAGATGACCAACTATGAAAGACTTGGCTACTCTGATCAATACATGATCCAAGACAATTCCAATTCCTCATGATGAAAAATGCTATCTACCTCCAGAGACAGAGCTAATGCACTCTGGGTACAGATTGAAGCATACTTTTTTTTTTCCATTTTCTTGCTTTTTTTTTTGACGTGGCTAATACGAAAATATATTTTGCATGACTTCATATGTAGAATTGATTCCGTATTGCTTGCCTTCTGTCAGGGTGGGGAAGGGCTAGAGGGAGAGAATTTGGAACTCAAAACTTTTTAAAATAAAGAACATCAAATAAATTATTTTTGAAAAGGAAAAAAAAATAGAAGCTTATAGGCAAGCAGCGGCACCAGCCAGCTCTCTTAATTTAATGTTAATGACTAGTGTGGTCTGTTAAAACCAGTACGTGGACAAATGGAAGCCATGGCAAAGTGGGCAGGGCAGAGGTGACATAGGTTTGGGGAAGCCACCTTTAATTTTATCTGTAATAGGGACATTTTGATAATCTGGATCTAAAGTCATAGAGTCTGTGCAGAGGTAGATGGTGTTCCAAATCCATTAACATGGGTAATAAACTGAGGTGCTATAGATAGATTCCCTAAAACATTACCAGTCTGTGTCTCCTTCTCCTTCCATCTCCCTCATCTTTATGTCAGTCCTTTCTTGCTCTATTTCTTTTATTGCTTCTCTCTACCAAGTTAATACCTAGGCCCTGGGTGTGCGCCAGTAATCTTACCTAGAGTTTGTAAATGTCTGTAGGAGGCATTCTTCATGGCCTTAGAGGTGGCTCAAGCTTCAAGGTCAGCCTCCAAGCCACCCAGCCTCAATGAGATTAAGTAAATCCCAGATGCCCAGGTCATATAAGAATTATAGGGTCTGGGCCAGAAAAGCCATTTAGCAACCCTTACCCTCATGCTTCCTCCCTGCCCCCCATTCCTGTGAGGGTGCTAGGTGGGCTCTAGTTATTATCTATGAAGTTATCTCAGTGCTAGAAAGAAAATGTTTCTCTCAGTCTTGTAACATCTGTATGCCAGTACTCTGAACTTTACCCCCCAAAGAACTTTGGTTTAGTAAGAATTTAGGCCAGCCCAGTCTTTTTTTTTTCCTTTTAAATTGATTTTTAAAAATTAGCAAGCATTTATTTTTTCCTCCTCTCCTACACACATTGAGAAGGAAAAAAAGAAAATCAAAACTCTAGCAACAAGTATGCATAACTAAGCAGTCCAAAACCAACTATCTCATTTTGCATTTTGAGTCCATCTCCTCTCTGATCTGAGTTCATTAGTCAACTCTTAATTATCTATGCTTCTAGAGGAATGTTAGTGGTATGGATAATTGAAAAACTAGGACTAATCCCAAACTACAAATAATCTGAAACCTACTTCTGTTTGACTCTGTGATAAAGACTATATAATTTTTGTAACAGAAGCAGACTCATCTTCGTAATTATATTTGGCTTAATAAGACTTTATTTGAAGGGGCAGCTAGGTGGTGCAGTGGATGGAGCACTGGCCCTGGATTCAGAAGGACCTGAATTCAAATCTGGCCTCAGACACATAACACTTACTAGTTGTGTGACGCTGGACAAGTCACTTAACCCCATTGCCTAGCCAAAAAAAAAAAAAAAAAGAAAGAAAGAAAGAAAGAAAGAAAAAGAAAAGAAAAGAAAACCTATCTGTGGCCCAAAGAAGTTTAAAAAGGGGCAGCTAGGTGGCACAGTGGATAGAGCATCGGCGCTGAAGTCAGGAGGACCTGAGTTCAAATCTGGCCTCAGACCAAATACTTGACACTTACTAACTTTGAGACCATGGGCAAGTCACTTAACCCCAATTGCCAAAAAAAAAAAGACTATGACGACTTTATTTGACCTTAGCTAAAAATGAGTTTGCATTTCCTGAGACCTCACTTGCCTCTTTGCCTATTCTCTTCGTTCTGAGCCATCCTTCACATAGCTGCCAGAAACACCTTCCTAATGCATACATCTGACCATGCCACTCCCCTGCTCAAAGATATTTAGTGGTTCTCTATTACCTTTAGGAGAAAATACAAGTTTCTTAGCCCAGCTTTGACGGTCCTCTACATTCTGACTTCAGCCTATCCTTCCATCTTTATTTCATAGAATTCACCTTTTCACACTCATTGTCCAAGTCAAATTAGACTACTGATTGTTCCCAAGTTTTGCCTTACCATCTTCTGCCTCTATTCAGATGTTCGGGTTGTACTCCATGCCAGGAATGCACTCATTTTCTTATCTCTGCCTTTTCTTCTTCATCACCATATCATCATCATCATCATCATCATCATCATCATCATCATCATCGTCATCACCCCTTCTCTTCCTTCAAGTTCTAGCTCAGATATCACCTCTTCCATGAAGCCTTCCCTGACTTTTTTAGTTGAAATGTTTTATCTATCATAACCCTATGTCTAGCTCTCTTTATTTCTAGCACAATCTATAACCTCATACTTATTTGTGTCCATGTCATATCCCTTTGATTATACTGTAATTTCTTTGGGGTCAAAGACTGATGGGTTTTTTTCCTATCTATCTCAACACCATCCTCACCCCCATCTCCGAAACAAGGGGTTTAAACACAGTAGGCACCTAATAAATGTTGAATTATTATTGAACTGAGGATGTATAGAATAAATTCTTGTTGTCGTTGTCATTAATATAGTATGGAGAGGTGGTCCAGAAGGTCGGGCCAGTGTGATTCAGTGGAAAAGGGTCAGAAGACCTGGGTTTGTATCTGTTTTTGACACTCAGTTGCTGTTTGGTTATGGTTAAGTGACAATGTCTCTTAAAGTCTCTGGGTTTCAGTTTCCTTATCTGTAAAATGGGGATATTAATACTTACCTCACAGAACTGTTGTTAAGGAAAGTGCTTTATATAAATCTAAGTTATTTGTTATACCAGTTCTGACTCCATGACTTTGGGCAAGTCATTTTCATTCATTCATTCATTCATTCAGTGAGCATTTATTATGTACCTACTATGTGCTGGGTCCTAGAGATTCAAAGACAAAAATAAAGCAGACCCTGCCCTCAAGGAACTTACATTCTCCCAAGTGAAACTCATATATCGATAAGTTAATACAAAAATATGTACAAAATGAACACTAATTAATTTCAAGGATGGAAGGGCACCCCTTCTGTGATGGTCAGGTCTCCGGCTTCAACTGCATTATTTGTAAAAGGAAGAGGGATGGACTGAATGATTTCTTCTGTTGCTTTCAGCTCTAGGGGAAAAATTATGAATCCTAGTCATGATTTTGTGATTCTGAGGCTGTTTCATATTAGGGGGAAGCCTTTTTGGGATTAAAAATGGACCAATGGGCAGCCAGTGAGCAGCTGCCTCTACAGAGATGGAGACCTCCTATAACTGTCTCTTAGTAGTGATTAGCCAGGGAAGTCTGCGCTGGCGGCAGAGCTAAAAGCCCAGCAGGGAGCCTTTGCCAAAGGGATTGGACTCTTTGTTAGCGTTCCTTTCAATTCTCTGCAGCCCGAGGCGCCCACCTTTCTCCCTCCTCCCCCCTCTACTTTTAAGAGAAAATGATTTGGGAGGTTACACAGGTGGCTGTGGCTGATAACAAACTCCAGCTCTCCCTTTGGCAAAACATCTTACTGCCATTTGTTTCGTTAACAGGCATCAGGCTGATTGGTCGTTTTCTTTCTCTCTCCCTTGCGGTATTTAAATCCCCAAGGCCTGAGAACCGAACTGTCTGTTCTTGAAAAGTGGTGGCTCAGAAAATCCTCAGGGCAGCCCTTGACCTTGGGGACAGTCGCATTCCCCAAGGCTGAGCCTGGAGGGTGGGGGTGGGGTGGGGGTGCTGGCCCAGGATGGAGCTAAGGCTCCCCCAGGGGAGCGAAGCTGCAGTGGCGCATGAATCCTGTCAGGTCTCTGGATCTGGTATCATGGCTTCCCTGGATGTTTAGAGAGCCAGCTTTGGCTAGATGGCAGGATAATAGAATTCAATTTAATTTAACAAAATCTATTAAATTTGCTATGTGTGAGGCACAGTTCCAGGGGCTGAGGATATTGGGATAGGACTGGACCTATAGTCAATTTCTAGATGAAGACAATACCTTTGAAGATAAAAAATGAAACAAATGCTTCCTTAAAGGGCTTGAAATCTACTTGGAGGAAAGGGTACACGTTTGGCATTTATACAGATAAGTATAATTCATGGTAATACTTGTAGTATAATAGGAGGAAGCAGAGGTCCAGATAAAGGGCCCCTAGAAAATTTGAAATTCCAACACTTTCAGGTTGGAGAGTTGGGGAGACTTCAGAAAGAAAGTGGCACCTGCTGTGGGCCTTAAAAAAGGAAAGGATTTCATCAGGCAGAGATGAGTGGGGAAGGCCTTCCATGAGTGGGGGAATGCTCTTTGTACAGAACAGAGAGGAATGGAGGAGAGTGGTTAACAACAGCTTGTAAAGTCCTTTTTGAATGGAATAGACATTGTATGAAAGGGAGGCTGAAATGAGACTATAAAAGTACATTGGAGCCAGATCATTGAGGATTTTGTTGTTGTGATCTTAAATGCCAGCCTAAGGAGTTGGAATTTTATCTTGGAGGTAGTAGAAAGTGACTGGAAGTCATGAAGACCCAAGTTGAAGACCTTCCTCTAACATATGCTGGCTACATGACCTTGGGCCAGTCAACTATCTGCTTAGTGCCCTCAGGCAGTGGTCTTAGATTGTAAATGGCATAGAATGCTTTGGAGAAATTCATCATTGGAAGTTCCCTATCCCAGTGAAATTACAGGTCTAGTTAAAAAAAATGATTGTCCATAAAGAAATGTATGATGAGGCAGAATGTGAGAAGGGCCAAGAGGAGTAGGGGCAAATGGTTATGAAAAAGCCTGCTCCCCATGGTGCAGTAGTTAGAGCATTGAATTTGAAGTCAGGAAGACCTGAATTTAGATATTTAACTAACTTTGATCCCAGGCAAGAGGTAGCATTATTCCCATTTTACAGATGAGGAAATGAGACCCGGAGTGGCTGAGTCTCATACGCGTCCTGTCTCAGACAGGATTTAGCTGAAAGGGACCTTAGTGGTCCTATAATCCAGTCCCTTCATGCAGGTTCCTCACAGAGTTCAAATGAGATAATATCTGTAAAAGCATTTAGCACAGTGTCTGGCACTGAGTGGCTGTTAAATAAATGCTTATTTCTCCTTCCCTTATTCCCCACATGCTATAAATGAGGGAAATTAGTCTCAGAAAAGCAAAGTACCTGCACGGTTTCCGACATGCAGGACATGTGAGGCAGGGTTCAAACCGGGCTCCTCTGATTCTAGCTCCATTCTACTATATCACATTGCCTCTAGCTGTCCAGGCCATAATTTGAACCAATGTTTCCCAAATACAGGACAAATTCTTCTCCTTTCCCATATGCCATGTTTCCTTTCCTAGGATGTTAGAATTGGAAAAGCCTTTCTAGTCTTGTCTAATCCCTAGAATCATAGCACCTCAAAGCTAATAGGAACTTCAAAGATATTCCTAATAGAGTCCTTGATTCATTCTCATTCTTCTTCCATGCCTCTCTCTCTCTCTCTCTCTCTGTTTGTCTCTCTCTCTCTCTCTCTCTCTCTCTCTCTCTCTCTCTCTCTCTCTCTCTTTTCCTCTCCATCCTTCTCCCTCCTTTTTCTTTCCCTTCCTCTCCTTCCCTCTCTCTTTCCCTTTCCTTCCCCCCCTCTCCCTCTCTCTTTCCCTTCTCTCTCTCATTCTCTCACTCTCTTTCTCTCTCTCATCCTCACCCTCTCCCTCTCCCCTTCCCTCCTCTTTTATCTCTTGTCTTTCTCTCTGCCTCTCTATGTAACTCTCTCTGTCTCACTGTCTCTGTCCCTATCTCTCTCTGTCTATCTCTGTCTCTGCCTGTCTGTCAGTCTGTCTGTCTCTATCCCTTCCTTCCTCCCTCTCCTTTCCCAACTCTCCAGTCCAGGTCAATTTGCCTGTGAGGACCGTAATCCAGGCAAACTGGGGACAGTCTCTTGTCATTTTCCCCACCCCCCACCTGAAACTTCTGGCCTTTTTAAGGTATGTTACCTGAGAAATGAATTCCCAGATCTAATATATGATGGTTAATTGAGGTTATTATCTCCTTTTGTTGATGGCCTCTTGAAATCTAGACCATTCTCAGGTCAGACTTGAGCAGCCTGAGAGCTCAGAGAGCACTTGTGTACAAGGTTAGGTCAGGCACGTCTTAGGGGCAAGCTGACCTGGAGCTGAAATAGGCAGTCAGATGGAAATGGAAACAGAGAGACAGACAGAGACAGAGACAGAGAGACACAGAAAGACAGAGACAGAGAGACAGAGACAGAAAGAAACTGAGAGACAGAGAGACACACAGACAGAGAGATGGAGACAGAGAGACACAGAGCGAATGAAAATTAATACCTTGGACAGTTCTCTCACCTTAAGGCTGTCTAGGTGCCTTACCCTATGTAACAAATGTCAGTTGCTATTTCTCCTCTGTAGCTTGCCCAAGATCTGACATATAAGCAGTATATGAGTCAGCCTTCAAACCAGGTTTTCTGATTCTAGATCCATTGTGCCTTTTGCTGCATGTCATTAGCTGTTCTTGTCAAGGCTAGGATTTGAACCCAGGTCTCCTAACTCCAGGACAAACTCCACCTTCTTTCCCCTGTGTCCTGCTACCCTTCCTGGGATCTTGTTGTGACTGGTATGTCATGAGGGAGATTTCCTTCCTGTGGCTTACGCAGGCATGTCTCACATAAGATTTTTAGTCATGCCAAGGAAATGTGGATTCTCACTCCAGAATAAATTCTGTTCTCTGTGTGATCCAATTTGTCTTTCAGCTGGGATTCTACAAGGGGCCAGCCAGGTCCCAGGTCACCCCAAGCAGCATGGTCAACCAGACCCGGGTCATCTTAGAGGAACAAGCCCGGCATCTGCTTAATGAGCAGGAGAGAGCAACCATGGGCTACTACTTAGATGAGTATAAGGAGAATAACATCCATGTGGATGCCCTCATCATGGCTCTGTTTGAACTACTCAACACCCAAGCCAAGGTACAGTGCTGTGGCCAGGGCTGGTGCCACTGGAGCTGCTCCAGACCAGTTCTGTAGACTTTGAGGCTCCAAACAGCCACCAGGCTTCAGGGAGTGGGGAGGAGTACCATGAATGCCTGATGGAACCCTCACTTTCTTCTAGACTTTGTCAAGACCTCAGTTATACATTCAGAGGCCCCCAGATCTAAGAAACACATGCCTAAGATTGAGACACCTTTGTTTGGAAGTTCAAGAAAATGCCTTATTTTGTGGGATAGTGTTTATAGTGGAGAGGGGGATTAGGGAAGGGATCTTTGGAAAGCATGAATTTGGGTTTGGGGTTTGTAACAATTGGGGAATCATAGGATTGTGGACTTAGAACTGGAAATGACCTTGGAGGTAATTTAGTCCAAATGATGAAATGACTTGCTCAAAGTTGAGTAAATAGTAATTGTCAGAATCTTGTCTCAAAAATTAGAGCTAGGGCTGAAGTGGAACTCGACAGTTCCCATCGTCCACCTACAGTAAGATAGCTTGACATAGGTCTAAATAGTCATAGGATCGTGGGATTTCGAAGTGGAAGAGGTCTTAGAGTACCTCTGGTCCAATCTTTTCATTTTATTGATGAAGAAACCAAGGCCCAGGCCTTAGGTTGAGTGTCTTGCCAAAGGTCACCTGGACAGAAAGTAGCAGAGACGTGATTTGATTTGGAAGCAAGTCTTCTGACTTCAGATTCAGAATTCTTTCCACTAGAATAGAGGAAAGTTCACAGGGTCTGGAGGCAGAGGACCTGGATTTAAATCCTGCTGCTGATACCTACTACTATTGGTGTAATCCTTGGCATGTCACCTTTCCTCCCTGAGCCTGTTTCCTCATCTGTAAGATGAGGTTGGACTTGATAGCCTTCATGATCTCTTCTAATTCTACATCTATGAACCTGTGACCTTGAGCAAGTTATCTTAACCAAATCAGTCAAGAAATGCTATGAGATTATTTGTGAAAAGGAGTTAAAATGTAAGGAGGCTTTAGAGATTATTTAGTTTAAGATTATAGAAGGGGGAAAAAACCTTTTCGGGAGTGCTCGGCTGAATATGTTCTTTTGTTCCCAGTTTTCCCTTCTATCTGAGGTGAGGGGTCTGATCTCCCCCCATGACCTTGATCGCTTTGACAACATGGTGCTGAAACGGGAGATTGAGTCCATGAAGGCCCGACAGCCCTCCTGCACTGGCACGGACACTTACTCTGTGGTGTCTTACAGTGACACCGGCTCCTCCTCTGGTAGCCAGGTCACTTCTACCACAGTCAGCTCTGCTCGAGTGAGTGCCCCCCACGTCGGGCCCACCGTCTGCTTAGGGGTGGGGATGGGGTTCTTCTCCCAGCCCCTGATTCTCTCTCTACGCACTCAGTAGCAGCTCCCATCCCTTCCTCCCCTCCCTCCCAAACCATAACCAGAGGCTGGCCAAGGTCTTTTTGCAGCTGACCATTTGTAACAATGTGATCTGACAAATAGTGAGCAGTACCTCACGATCCCAGAGGATTCAAGACCTTTCATCCAAGCTAAATGGTGTGGCGGAGGAAGGAGGAGCAGGAATCCTTCTTCTCTGGACCCTCCGTCTCGAGGTGTGACACATCAGTCTGTAAGCAAGCATCTGTGTTTACCGCAGGGTCAGTGCTCCATGATAATCCAGTGGCTGATTATCCAGCTTGTCTGGGTCTCCTGGCTCAGTTTCTCCTTCTTGTTTCACGCCTTTTGGTCAGTTTACTATGCCTTCACCAATAAAAGGGAAAGAAAAGGGAGCAGAGATAGAATTTTGACTTCTCTGTTTGTCTGGGTCCTTGCTGTTTTGATATATTGGGAAAGGAGGCTGGAGCTATTGACAAAAATGAGATTTTTAAAAACATTATCTAAGGATTTTCATGACACTGTCTCTCATATTTCTCCATGTCTGTGGATATTCAAGGTGGGGATAATGACCTATGATTCCATTGGTGGAGGGAGTTCCTGGTGAGGACCTTCCTCTACCAATATAGGTTGGCACCTTCTCTGCAAATTATTGTCTTAAAGAGCTGTTTATAACACTGAGAGGATAAATGACTTGCCCAGGGTCACACAACCAGTGTGTCAGAGGTGAGACTAGAACCCAGGTCTTCTGGCTTCAAGACTTACTCTATCCTCTATGGCATACTGCTTCTGAATATTCTAAGTGTGGTCTATATATGGCCTCTTGACTGTTACCAGATCTTAGGAACCCACAAATTACCTTCCTTCAGCAACAATCTGTCTCCTTTTCCATTGCAGAGTGCCTCCTGCCTCCTTCCTTAAATTGGGGCAGGTGTGGGAACAAAGTCCTTGGGCAGCTTTATTTCCCACAAGAACTCCAAGTCCAAATCATTTTCCTGGACAGGTGCAGGAAGTAGCATCAAAGCCCTGATTATAACAATATCATCATTTCATGCTTCAGGATATAAACTGATCACCTGGAGTCCTGATTCTCCAGGATGAAACTAGAATTCTTCTGCTCCTCTGCACGTGTTCAGCATAGTAAATTCACTTTGGCATCTTGTTCATCCAGTTAGTGGTTTATGCAGCACTTACAAGATGGGCCAGGGATATACTTTGTCCAGGGGGTGACCCCTAGGTGAAAGTCCTGGCCACTGTGGACATAGTGCGGGGCTCAAATGCAAAGTGGTACCTTCTGAATCCCTGAGGATAATCTGGGATCTAGTTAAAAACTGCACGCTTTAATCTGTCACATGCCTGTCTCCTTAAATCAGGGACCCTGACAGAAACAAATTTCAATCATCTGCTGCCCCTTGGGAATCATTTAGATTTTAGGAGATGATTCTGAGTGCTTTTTCAGGCCCAGGGAACAAGACTCTTAGAAGCAGTTTGGAAAGAACAATGAATGACCTAGGAGACTGTGGTCCTGAGTTCTAGTCCTGGCTCGATTACTGACTCACTGTGTCACTGTGGGCAGCTCTCTTCTAGCTCTCTAATTCTCTAATTCTCTGAGCCCCTGGCCCAGGCCCTACCCTGTGTCAGTATTACTTCACATGTCCCAAAGCTGATATGTCTTCAAAAGCCCAGTCCCCTGACAGATTTTGAATTTTGCGTTGTGGTAGCTGGTGTTACTTCCCCTTCTGTTCTGAGGACCTTTGAGAGCTGCAGAAAGTTTCTATGTCTGGATTTTTTTCCTAACCAGCTAGGCTTCATCATATTCAGTCCAGTCTCTGATGAGCTGTAAAGATGGTTCTTTCACTTGCTGTCACTTTTATGAGCAAATACCTCCTACTGCTGGGTAGTACCTGGACTGGTACAGAAGAAGGTTTAGCTCTAATGATCGCCACTGCCCTTCCACATCCAGAAGAAGCCCTAAAAGCCTTACAGGCAATGTAGGTGATCTTCAGCACCTCAGTTACTGCCTTTAGGAGAGACCAAGAGCAGTGTTCATGGAAACCTGGAAACCTTCTTCATTTCAGGGACAAGTGAAGTACTTTGTGCCTGCACAAGAGATAGTTTGCCAGGGAAGGGCACACCCTGGGTTATTTCTCAAGTGCTTCTAATACATTTGTGTGGTAAGACTATATATAGAGATATATAGATATAGATATATATGTACACACACATATATACGCATATAAACACACACATATATACATGTAGTCCTTATATATACACATGTGTATATATTCACATATATACACATATGTGCATGTGTATATATGCACATATACCTAAATATATAACATACGCACACATACATGTACACACACATATATGTGTGTGTGTGTGTGTGTGTATATATATATATATATATATATATATATATATATATATATATATATATATATATATATATATATATATATATATATATATATATATATATATATATATATATAATATATATATGCCCATGCATCCATCCAAGCAAGCAGCAAACATTTGTTGAAAGCCTAGTGTATGCACTATTGTTAGGTACTAACTAGGAAATTTAGGAAACCTTCCCTAATACCCAGCAGTGAAACTTGCTAACAGTCTGGAGCTCGGCAGGCTACGCAGGCTGAATCTAATTATCTGGCCCCCTTTTCTTCTTCTGTCATCATTCCTGAGACATTCCTCAGACTGTAGCACTCAATCAGACTCAAGCCCTGGTTTACATATGACTGTGGAAGCCTGAAGATGACATTTGCATCCAAGGCATTGCCTGCATTTCATATAAAGGCTTCTAGGAAGGGCTGAAAGTCTCTGCTTCTCCCCTAAGACCCAGATCACAGGCTGCACCACTGGATAGCCCCTAATTTTCTATTTTTGGTAGATTGGTTTCATGACCACTATATGAGTTTCAGTATTAATCCTCACTTAGCTCTAGGGCCCCCTAAAATGTCTGCCCTAAACTGCTCCTATGATTTTTACTTTAACAGCTTCATGCAAGAGAATATGTTACTTAGTGGATTTGTGGCAAGAAGGATTGGGGGTTCTTTTACCAGGGTCTTATGTTTATTTTTATTGCCTTTTTTGTGTGTGGAATGGTAGTGGTTTGCTGCATCTGTTCCAGTCCCTAATGCATTGTTTTATTTTGTTTTTCCCCCCCTTTTTGTGCTTGCCTAAATTATCTTTCCCAGGAGCGGCTCTTATGGTTAATAGACCTAATGGAGGTATGGTCCTTTCGCTGGGAAGCTTTCCTGCTATGGTTTCCATAGTAAAAAAGATGGGGTCGAGGGTGGGGTGAAGGACAAAAAGTGGTTGGCTGCCAAAGGCAGGTCTGTCTCTAAGGTCTGGCCCTATAGGGGGCTGAATAGGAAGGACATGTTCTCCAACATCTCCTCCTGTTTGCCTCTCAGTCTTTTTATGTGCCCATCTGCCTGTTCTTGGATCTCTCTGTCTCATTGTGTGGTCTGGTTGCCAGCTCATTAGGCTTTTCCTGTGGCTTCAGTCCTCCTCTTCCTCCTTGTCACATCATACCACATGACAGCTGCCATGTCAGTGTGTCATGGTGGAAAGAGACCTCGGTAGTGGCAGAGCTGGGAGTACAACACAGATCTTTTGGCTCCTGCTCTATGATCTTGGCCAAATTACATCATTGGTGTCTCAGTTCTCACATTTATATTTTAAGGTCCCTTCCAGCTCTGACATTCTATGTCCTAAGGGCCCTTATGCTTTTGACATTCTGTATTATAATGTCCCTTCTAGCTCTGACATTCTGTGTCCTAAGATCCCTTATATGTCTGACATTCTATATTCTAATATCTTTTCCAGCTCTGACATTCTGTGTCCTAAGATCCCTTATACCTCTGACATTCTATATTCTAATGTCCCTTCTAGCTCTGAAATTCTATGTCCTGAAGTCCCTTATATCTCTGGCATTCAATTACCTCTGACATTGTATTCTCTGAAGTCCCTTCCAGTTCTAAATTCTTTGCTTATTCATATGTGTGGTCGAAGCTGCCTCATGCTGCTTATGGAATTACTAAGTCACCACTACAATATGGCATAGTAAAAAGAGTTGGAGTCCAGAAAGACCTGAATTCAAACCGTATGTTCAATAACTGGTAGCTGTGTGAGAATGGGAAAAAACTTAACCTGAGTCTCAGTTTCCTCGTCTGTAAAAAGGTCAAAATAATACTTATAGTATCTACCTACTAGGGCAGCTAGGTGACACATTAAATGAATTGCTGGGCCTGGAGTCAGGAAGACTTATCTTCCTGAGTTCGAATCTGGCTTCAGATATTTACTGGCTGTGTGACCTTGGGCGAGTCACTTAACCCTGTTTGCCTCAGTTTCCTCATCTGACAAGTGACCTGGAGAAGGAAATGGCAAACCACTCCAGTACCTTTGCCAAGAAAACCCCAAATGGAGTCATGAAGAGTCAGACACAAACTGGAACAACTGAACAACAAATAAAACCTACCCATCAAGGTTTCTGTAAGCATCAAATGAAATAATTTATGCAAGGTTCTTTGATTCTCTAAGAGCTTTGTAAATGTCAGCTATTATTTTGATTACCAGTAACTCTTTTTCTAATAATTGGTCCTAGATCTGATGGATTTTGCTTATTTCCTGTATATAAGCCCTGTGTCACTTAGGGAGATAGGAATCTTAACATTCTCATAACCTTCTTTTCTCCTTCATTACCTACTAGCCCTCAGTCTCTGGGTGTTAAGTGTTCAGAGAAGTTAAAAGCAAAAGAATTTTTACCAAGACCTCCTAACTTTCTTCCATGTCAGTTCAGGTGACAGTTATTGAGAATTATTGTCCTCCAGGGCTAGGGATGAGTACTCATCTAAATACATTAGTGACTGTGGGCCTCAGGGC